AACCCAACCTAACCTAACCTAACCTAACCCAACTACCTAACCTAACCTAACCTAACCCAACCCAACCCAACCCAACCAAACCTAATCTAACCTAACCTAACCTAACCTAACCAAACCTAACCTAACCTAACCTTGCCTAACCTAACCTATCCTAACCTAACCTAACGTAACCTAACCTAACCTAACCTAACCTAACGTAACCTAACCTAACCTAACCTAACCTAACCCAACCTAACCCAACCCAACCCAACCTAACCTAATCCAACCCAACCCAACCTAACCTAACCTAACCTAACCTAACCTAACCTAACCTAACGACGGTTGCAAGCGCTTTCACATTAGATATCGCAGTTCCCGACTTGTAATGGTGAAAAACACTGCATCTCACTAAGTGACATTGTTTAATGCGGTTTTACGACGGTTCATATCTTAACCTAACCTAACATTCGCACTTGTATCTAAAAACGCTCTATTACACTGTTTCGTTCAAACTTACGATATTTGCATAACCTCACAGTTTAACACCAACTTATTGCAGTACAGAACGCTGTATCTCGCTAAATGACATCGTTCTTGAAGGTTTCACGATGCGTGCATGCGCTTTAACGAGAATACCACAGTATAGCAGTTTCGTACTTGTAACGGTACAACACGCAGTATTTGGCTTGTTCATGCCGTTTTGTGTGCTTTCACAACATTTCACCTATCGCAGTTTAGTACTCGCAATAAAACAACACTATCTCGTTAGATGACGTCGTTTTTGGTGGTTTCACGACGCTACCTAGCTTAAACTAACATAACTACACCTAACATAACCTTCGCACTTCTATCGTCAGAAAACGTTTACTCGCTACTTTACATTGCTTTCTACAACATTACGACAGTTTCAAGCGCTTTCACATTAGATATCGCAGTTCCCGAATTGTAATGGTGAAAAACACTGCATCTCACTAAGTGACATTGTTTAATGCGGTTTTACGACGGTTCATATCTTAACCTAACCTAACCTGACCTAACCTAACCTAACCTAACCTTACCTAACCTAACCTAACCTAACCTAACTTAACCTAACCTAACCTAACCTAACCCAACCCAACCCAACCCAACCCAACCCAACCCAACCCAACCCAACCTAACCTAACCTAACCCAACCCAACCCAACCCAACCCAACCCAACCCAACCCAACCCAACCTAACCTAACCTAACCCAACCCAACCCAACCCAACCCAACCCAACCCAACCCAACCCAACCTAACCTAACCTAACCTAACCTAACCTAACCTAACCCAACCCAACCCAACCTAACCCAACCCAACCCAACCCAACCCAACCCAACCCAACCCAACCTAACCTAACCAAACCTAACCTAACCTAACCTAACCTAACCTAACCTTACCTAACCTAACCTAACCTAACCTAACGTAACGTAACCTAACCTAACCTAACCTAACCCAACCTAACCTAACCCAACCCAACCAACCCAACCCAACCTAACCTAACCCAAACCCAACCCAACCTACCTAACCTAACCTAACGACGGTTGCAAGCGCTTTTTTTTTTATTTGAATATACTGCAGGCCCTTCACGGCCCAAGCAGGAGTGGGTACACAGATACATCGAAATACATACATTGCCAGAGAGAAAAAAAAATCATGGTGCAAATTCAATACACTGTATACGGTTGATGAAAGAGTCAATCGTACTACAACAAACAATGTCGTTGGGTAGGCTGTTCCAGAGGGAGATAGCTGACGGAAAAAGTGAATGTTTGTGAGCGTTTACACGACTTAAAGGTTGGCGTATTGTTTTAGAATGATTTAGTCGGAATGATTGTTTAGGCGGATCTTGCAGATAATGAGAGCGTGATATGTGGAAATGACCATGATATAATTGGTAAAGGAATTTTAATCGTGACATTATTCTGCGTTGAAAAAGTTGTTTTAAGTTTGCCCTTGCGAGTAAATCTGCGGTACTGGACTGCCTCGCGAATTCTGAATATACGAACCTTACTGCCAATTTTAGTATTCGTTCTATTTTACTAATCAGGTACTTTTGATGTGGACTCCAGATGAGATCGGCGTACTCCAAACATGGTCTAATTAGTGTTTTGTAGGCATTTATTTTAATATGTGGTGGTGCATTGCGCAGTTTTCTTCTCAAGAAAGATAACTTCCTTTCCGCTTTCTGACACATGGCCAAGATGTGTGGTTCCCAGTTAAGGTTCGGCGTGAGTGTAATGCCTAGGTATTTTACTTGATTGCATTTTTCGATAATTGAGTTTCCAATCCTATATGTATAGTTAAGGGTGGATTTCTTATTGTAAAAGAAATGCAATGCGTTTTTGATGTGTTTAGTTTCATGCCCCAAGTATTGCACCAGGAATAAATTGCCTGAAGTGAATTGTTAAGTTTGGTTTGGTCATCTGAATTGCGCACGACTGTGTACACGACACAGTCGTCGGCAAACAGACGCATCTGAATAGGGTTCTCAACGGAAAAGTGGATGTCGTTAATAAACATTAAAAATAGCAGAGGTGCAAGAACCGATCCCTGAGGTACACCAGAATAAACATCAAGTGGTTCTGATAGCTGATTGTCAATTTTAACGCTTTGTTTCCGTTTAGTTAAGAAGTTGTTGATCCAGGATATTATTTTGATATCAATACCAAAAGCCGTTAGTTTTTTGACTAAATCCAGATGTGGGACAACGTCGAACGCCTTAGAAAAGTCTAAAAATATAGCATCTAATTGGACGTTATCGTTGATTGCGTTGGCTATGTCATGAGTTAATTCAGCTAATTGGGTTATAGTTGAGAGGCCTGATCTGAAACCATGCTGTTGTTTGTAGAGAAGTTCGTTTGTTTCTAGGTGAGTTATTATGGCCTTGAAAATTACATGTTCCATTATTTTGCAGCACGAACTCGTAAGTGACACTGGGCGGTAGTTGCTTATTTCTAGTTTGGGGCCTGATTTATGTATAGGAATTACTACAGCATTGCACCAGTCGTCTGGTATCTGTGAAGTTTGAAGAGATAACGTGTATATTTTAAAGAGATACTTAGATGTCCAATTAGCGTATCGGCTTAAAAATGAGTTAGTGATTTGATCGGGGCCCGTAGATTTCTTTTGATCAAGCTTTTGTAATAGAGAAAGTATGCCCTCCTCATTTACGATTAATTCTTCCATGGGTATTTTCACAGTATAAGGAGGTAGTAGCGCATTACTGGTATGTTTCGTGAAAACTGACTGAAAAAACTTGTTCATCTCATTAGCAATGTGTTCGGGATCTTTAATGATTTGTTCCGAATTTTTAATTTGTGAGATTGAGTCTCTTTCATCTGATAAGTATCGCCAGAATTTTTTGGGACAGTGCGCCATAAACGAAGCTAACGTAGTGTTAAAGAAGCGGGTTTTTGCTTCTGACATTTTATGCTTTAATGTCCCGTTAAGATCACGTACGTTGTTTTTGGTTCCCTTTTTCTGCCGTCGTTTTATTTTTCTTTTCAGTTGAATTATCTCACGCGTTATCCAAGGGTATTCTCGGTTGATGCGTTTCTTTTTATTCGGAATGAATGTGTCTTCGCAATATTTAACAGTGCTTTTAAAATGCGCCCAAAGTTCTTTTACGTCTGTAAGCTCAATGAATTCATGAAATTGTGTTTCCAGGAAACGTAGCACAGCAGGGTCATTTGCACGTGCGTAATCTTTAAAGTAAGTAGGTAGTGGCTTTTTGTATTTCTTCGCGCATGAAATAGGGCAGGTCAAAGTAATCGATTTGTGATCGGAAATGCCATTCTCGATGGACGCAGAAGAACCTTCTAATGTACTACTTACAAACGCTAGGTCAAGTAAAGACGATGACGTCGCAGTGATCCGAGTGTTATCAGTTACTAGTTGATTCAATGAAAACGCGAACGCTACGTCCAGTAGTAATTCTGAACTAGCAACGTCACGACCATCATGTGAACCATTGTTCCAATTTATTCCGGGAAGATTAAAATCCCCAGTAAGGATAATTTTTGACCTAGAGTTAGTATGCTTTGAAAGATAATCATGAATCACTTCAATGTAGTCAGGTGCCGCATTTGGAGGCCGATATACCCCTCCTACAATTATACTTTTATCATAATATGTTATTTTGCACCAGACGCTTTCGTGGTCGGGAATGCCATCGAGTTCAAAGGATTTGATATTTTTTTTAATTGCTACCGCTACGCCCCCGCCTCTTGACCCTCTATCTTTACGGAGCAGTCTGTATGAGGGAGGGACGACTTCCGAGTCACGTACTCCGGAGTGAAGCCAAGTCTCTGTTATTATTAGAACGTGAGGTTGGTAGGACGAAATTATGTTCTCTAGTTCATCAAACTTGTTTAGCACACTTCTGGCATTGAGGGAAACGATTCTAAGTGTTTTAGTACTGTGCTGTCAGTTCGAGTTTTTCTTATTTGTAGAAGTTTTATGCGTAGATGAAGTTGGTCGGTTGTTTCGTGGTGGACCCGCTTTCTTTGATATATCTGTTCTAGCATTCTTTACTGGGTCCCAAGTATAAACTTTATCATTGACTTTCAGTTTATCGAACGACAGTTTGACTTTTGCTCCTTTGGCCCTTTCGTTTGCCGCAGAGTGCCATAAGTGCGCGCGCATATCCCTTACTCTTTTGGAAAAATCTTCGGAGACGGATAAGGGCGTACCCTTGAGTTTATAACAGCAAGATAAGATTTTGTTTTTTTCACTGTAGTCGAAGAGACGTAGGATGATTGGCCTTCCCTGGCTGGTTCTATGGTTGCCTATTCTATGAATTCTTTCGATGGTCTTTACTTCGATACCGAGTGTTTGTTTCAGAATGTCATCTTTTACTTTCTTTTCCAGTAAGATAGCATCTTCGTCAGACTCTTCCGTTACACCATAGATAATCAAGTTATTACGTCGGCTTCTGTTTTCTAAATCATCCAGTTTAAGTGCAAGACTTCCAATTTCACCTTTCATGGTGGCGTGCTTACTTTCATACTCGGCCAATTTTTCTTCGCAGTGTTTAAGTCGTTCCATATCATTTTCGATTTTAGTGAGCCTGGTTTCCATATTATCCACAGTTCGTTCAACCTTTTTCAAATTAGCCACTACTTCCTTTAACGTTTTATTTGTTTTAGTTTGTTCTTTGAGTATTTGTTTTAGAATGTTATTGTTGGGACGGGTGTCCGATTCCGAATCAGAATTCGGACCGGGATTTAGCTCAACATCACCCGATGTTAGTAACAGCAGCTTACACACATCATAGCAATCAGCAATCAGGGCAACAAGAAAGCGTGGACTTGGCAGCACCATCAGGGTTACATCATCGTCTATTAATGAGGTTACCGAGTAATTGTTACTAACCTGCACAACGAAAAGAGCAGGAATAAGCATCGGTCCCTGGTCGGTGCCACCAAGTCCACTGAAGTGTCTCGTGTCATGAGCCAGGCTTTTATACTGTTGGGCGCCTGCTTGCGTCGACGAGATCTCGTCCGTGGCGTGGTAGCTGCGCTGTAGAGGTGCGTAGAAGATCGCAGGCGCTTGCGCAGATTCGTTCCCTGTTGTTGTGTCATCGGTGATTACTGGCGTAGTTCCATTTGTGTGCAGATGCGTGACCAGCCCGGTAGAGAGGCCTTTAGGCCATAGCGCAATCTGCACAACGAAAAGAGCAGGAATAAGCATCGGTCCCTGGTCGGTGCCACCAAGTCCACTCTGACCAGCCCGGTAGAGAGGCCTTTAGGCCATAGCGCAATCTGCACAACGAAAAGAGCAGGAATAAGCATCGGTCCCTGGTCGGTGCCACCAAGTCCACTCCACTTTAACATTAGATATCGCAGTTCCCGACTTGTAATGGTGAAAAACACTGCATCTCACTAAGTGACATTGTTTAATGCGGGTTTACGACGGTTCATATCTTAACCTAACCTAAGATTCGCACTTGTATCTAAAAACGCTCTTTTACACTGTTTCGTTCACAATTACGATATTTGCCTCAGCTCACAGTTTTTCACCAACTTATTGCAGTACAGAACGCTGTATCTCGCTAAATGACATCGTTCGTTAAGGTTTCACGATGCTTGCATGCGTTTTAACGAGAATATCACAATATAGCAGATTCGCACTTGTAACGGTACAACACGCAGTATCTGGCTTGTTCATGCCGTTTTGTGTGCTCTCACAACATTTCACCTATTGCAGTTTCGTACATGCAATAAAACAACACTATTTTGTTAGATGACGTCCTTTTGGTGGTTTCACGACGCTACCTAGCTTAAACTAACATAACTCAACCTAACATAACCTTCGCACTTCTATCGTTAGAAAACGTTTACTCGCTTCTTTACAATGCTTTCTACAACATTACGACGGTTTCATGCGCTTTCACAATAGATATCGCAGTTCCCGACTTGTAATGGTGAAAAACACTGCATCTCACTAAGTGACATTGTTTAATGCGGTTTTACGACGGTTCATATCTTGACCTAACCTAACATTCGCACTTGTATCTCAAAACGCTCTATTACACTGTTTCGTTCACAATTACGATATTTGCATGACGTCACACTTTTTCACCTACTTATTACAGTACAGAACGCTGTGTCTCGCTAAATGACATCATTCTTTAAGGTTTCACGATGCTTGCATGCGCTTGAACGAGAATATCACAAAACAGCAGTTTCGCACTTGTAACGGTACAACACGCAGTATTTGGCTTGTTCATGCCGTTTTGTGTGCTTTCACAACATTTCACCTATCGCAGTTTCGTACTCGCAATAAAACAACACTATCTCGTTAGATGACGTCGTTTTTGGTGGTTTCACGACACTACCAAGCTTAAACTAACATAACTCAACCAAACATAACCTTCGCACTTCTATCGTTAGAAAACGTTTTACTCGCTACTTTACATTGCTTTCTACAACATTGGTTTCAAGCGCTTTCACATTAGATATCGCAGTTCCCAACTTGTAATGGTGAAAAACACTGCGTCTCACTAAGTGACCTTGTTTAGTGCGGTTTTACGATGGTTCATATCTTGACCTAACCTAACCTAACCTACCCTAACCTAACCTGACCTAACCTAACCTAACCTACCCTAACCCAACCCAACCCAACCTAACCTAGCCTAAACTAACCTAACCTAACCTAACCCAACCCAACCCAACCTAACCTAACCTAACCCAACCCAACCCAACCCAACCCAACCTAACCTAACCTAACCTAATCTAACCCAACCCAACCTAACCTAACCCAACCCAACCCAACCCAACCTAACCTAACCTGACCTAACCTAACCAAACCTAACCTAACCTAACCTAACCTTACCTAACCTAACCTATCCTAACCTAACGTAACGTAACGTAACCTAACCTAACCTAACGTAACCTAACCTAACCTAACCCAACCTAACCTAACCCAACGCAACCCAACCCAACCCAACCCAACCTAACCTAACCCAACCCAACCCAACCTAACCTAACCTAACTTAACGGCGGTTGCAAGCGCTTTAACATTAGACATCGCAGTTCCCGACTTGTAATGGTGAAAAACACTGCATCTCACTAAGTGACATTGTTTAATGCGGGTTTACGACGGTTCATATCTTAACCTAACCTAACATTCGCACTTGTATCTAAAAACGCTCTATTACACTGTTTCGTTCACAATTGCGATATTTGTTTCACCTCACAGTTTGTCACCAACTTATTGCAGTACAGAACGCTGTATCTCGCTAAATGACATCGTTCGTTAAGGTTTCACGATGCTTGCATGCGCTTTAACGAGAATATCACAATATAGCAGATTCACACTTGTAACGGTACAACACGCAGTATCTGGCTTGTTCATGCCGTTTTCTGTGCTCTCACAACATTTCACCTATTGCAGTTTCGTACATGCAATAAAACAACACTATTTTGTTAGATGACGTCCTTTTTGGTGGTTTCACGATGCTACCTAGCTTAAACTAACATAACTCAACCTAACATAACCTTCGCACTTCTATCGTTAGAAAACGTTTTACTCGCTTCTTTACAATGCTTTCTACAACATTACGACGGTTTCATGCGCTTTCACAATAGATATCGCATATCCCGACTTGTAATGGTGAAAAACACTGCATCTCACTAAGTGACATTGTTTAATGCGGTTTTACGACGGTTCATATCTTAACGTAACCTAACATTCGCACTTGTATCTAAAAACGCTCTATTACACTGTTTCGTTCACATTTACGATATTTGCATGACCTAACAGTTTTTCACCAACTTATTACAATACAAAACGCTGTATCTCGCTAAATGACATCATTCTTTAGGTTTCACGATGGTGTCATGCGCTTTAACAAGAATATCACAACATAGCAGTTTCGCACTTGTAACGGTAAAACATGCAGTATTTGGCTTGTTTATGCCGTTTTGTGTGCTTTCACGACATTTCACCTATTGCAGTTTCGTACATGCAATAAAACAACACTATCTCGTTAGTTGACCTCCTTTTTGGTGGTTTCACGACGCTACCTAGCCTAAACAAACATAACTCAACCTAACATAACCTTCGCACTTCTATCATTAGAAAACGTTTTACTCGCTACTTTACATTGCTTTCTACAACATTACGACGGTTTCAAGCGCTTTCATATTAGATATCGCAGTTCCCGACTTGTAATGGTGAAAAACACTGCATCTCACTAAGTGACATTGTTTAATGCGGTTTTACGACGGTTCATATCTTAACCTAACCTAACCTAACCTAACCTTACCTAACCTAACCTAATCTAACCTAACCTAACCTAACCTAACCTAACCTGACCTAACCTAACCTAACCTAACCCAACCCAACCCAACCTAACCTAGCCTAAACTAACCCAACCTAACCTAACCCAACCCAACCCAACCTAACCTAACCCAACCCAACCCAACCCAACCCAACCCAACCCAACCTAACCTAACCTAACCTATTCTAACCCAACCTAACCTAACCTAACCTAACCCAACCCAACCAACCCAACCCAACCTAACCTAACCTGACCTAATCTAACCAAACCTAACCTAACCTAACCTAACCTAACCTTACCTAACCTAACCTATCCTAACCTAACGTAACGTAACCTAACCTACCACCTAACCTAACCCAACCTAACCTAACCCAACGCAACCCAACCCAACCCAACCTAACCTAACCCAACCCAACCTAACCTAACCTAACCTAACGACGGTTGCATGTGCTTTAACATTAGATATCGCAGTTCCCGACTTGTAATGGTGAAAAACACTGCATCTCACTAAGTGACATTGTTTAATGCGGGTTTACGACGGTTCATATCTTAACCTAACCTAACATTCGCACTTGTATCTAAAAACGCTCTATTACACTGTTTCGTTCACAATTACGATATTTGCCTCACCTCACAGTTTTTCACCAACTTATTGCAGTACAGAACGCTGTATCTCGCTAAATGACATCGTTCGTTAAGGTTTCACGATGCTTGCATGCGCTTTAACGAGAATATCACAATATAGCAGATTCGCACTTGTAACGGTACAACACGCAGTATCTGGCTTGTTCATGCCGTTTTCTGTGCTCTCACAACATTTCACCTATTGCAGTTTCGTACATGCAATAAAACAACACTATTTTGTTAGATGACGTCCTTTTTGGTGGTTTCACGACGCTACCTAGCTTAAACTAACATAACTCAACCTAACATAACCTTCGCACTTCTATCGTTAGAAAACGTTTTACTCGCTTCTTTACAATGCTTTCTACAACATTACGACGGTTTCATGCGCTTTCACAATAGATATCGCAGTTCCCGACTTGTAATGGTGAAAAACACTGCATCTCACTAAGTGACATTGTTTAATGCGGTTTTACGACGGTTCATATCTTGACCTAACCTAACATTCGCACTTGTATCTCAAAACGCTCTATTACACTGTTTCGTTCACAATTACGATATTTGCATGACCTCACAGTTTTTCACCAACTTATTACAGTACAGAATTCTGTATCTCGCTAAATGACATCATTCTTTAAGGTTTCACGATGCTTGCATGCACTTTAACGAGAATATCACAACACAGCAGTTTCGCACTTGTAACGGTACAACACGCAGTATTTGGCTTGTTCATGCCGTTTTGTGTGCTTTCACAACATTTCACCTATCGCAGTTTCGTACTCGCATTAAAACAACACTATCTCGTTAGATGACGTCGTTTTTGGTGGTTTCACGACGCTACCTAGCTTAAACTAACATAACTCAACCTAACATAACCATTCGCACTTCTATCATTAGAAAACGTTTTACTCGCTACTTTACATTGCTTTCTACAACATTACGACGGTTTCAAGCGCTTTCATATTAGATATCGCAGTTCCCGACTTGTAATGGTGAAAAACACCGCATCTCACTAAGTGACATTGTTTAATGCGGTTTTACGACGGTTCATATCTTAACCTAACCTAACCTAACCTGACCTAACCTAACCTAACCTAACGCAACCCAACCTAACCTAACCTAGCCTAAACTAACCTAACCTAACCTAACCCAACTCAACCCAACCTAACCAAACCTAACCTAACCTAACCCAACCCAACCTAACCCAACCCAACCCAACCTAACCTAACCTAACCTAACCTAACCCAACCCA